GTTTCTCTTGGCACTCAGAGAAGCTAATTCATTCTCTGCCATAGCACTAAATGCTGACAGGCCAGGGCGGTACTGGGGTCAGAAGCGAGGACATGGTTTTTGGACAGCAGCAGAACCATTGCATATTAAAATGGTTGGTGACTGAGGGCGCGGCACCTTTATACCTGAGGGAGAAGCCCGAGGTCTCTTCATAGCTTGTCACATCCGGGACCACTGGAGAGAGCAGAGGCTCTGCCAGCTCGCTGGACATGGCTCTGCCCACATAGCTGAGGGGCTACAAGGACTACTATCCTGTCATTGTCATTTCCATACACAAAACCGTGGGTCTCGTGAGCTAAGCCACAGGGAACCTCAATCATCAGAACTGTTCAAGTTTGTTACTTTCCTCTGCACTTGGAAGAATGGGCCTTTGTTGCCCACTTGGCTGTTCCTATTTTCCTACTCATTTTGCTCACTGTGCTTTACTCAGTGTACGTACGCCACCCCGCCAGTTCGCAGGCCTGTTTTGCGGCCTCCCGCGTGTGCTTTCCTTTGCTGCGAGGAGACGCATGTGGTGAAGTGCACAGGAGGTGCCCCTGCGGGTGGACGCACGGGAACCCGGCAGCCCTGTGCTTGGAAGCACAGGCTGAGTGGTCTCTGTTTAAATCTAGCGAAGCTGAGTTCTCCAGAGTATTACCTCAGAAACTGTTTGTCCGCGGTGTGGAGTCTTGCTGGTGATCCTGTTCTGCTACTTATTCCTAGGCTTAGTGTTGTGAACTTGGGCAAAGCAAAGTTCTCCTCTGGAGTACACCGTCCAGGCTTACGAGAGCAGTTTAGCAGAGCTCTCAGCGTTGGCACGAGTCGGGGTCCTTTACTCAGAGCACCAGCCGAGCTTTCTTTTGCAGCAGGGAGTGGCAAAGCCTGCCACATCTGCCTCTCTGAGGGCTATTAGGAGATCAGCTCAAGTGAGATCATGCGTATGAGAGTACTTTGGAAATGCCAAAGGGTGCACTCCAAGAATCACTGACAGGATGAAGACACCATTCCCTCAGGCTCAGTTGGGCTGTGTGTTACGGTCTTTGCTGGCTTTGTTAAGTGGTTACTGTGATCATCAGAACAGACCTGTGTATTCTCTTCAACTTTACATTTATGTTAACTTGGCAGTTTTCTGGCCAGACGAGCAGTTCTGTTTCCAATTCCAGGAAGCTGCTTTGAGATTTTCATAATGCTCTTTAGATGTATTTGCACTCTAAACAGTTTGATAGCATCATTTGGGTGAATTGTGTTAATAACATAGTTTGATACATACTGTGTTGATGAATACAATTTTTGTAATTCATGTGGATCTGATGATTATATTTTTCAATGACACACCACTTTCTGTCTTTGAGGCCTTATGATTCCGTATATTTTATGTATGTAAATTTCCAGAGTTCTAAATGAGAGTAGGATGTAATTCTGATCACAAGAACTCTGATGGCTGTCCACACACGCTCACACACAAATACACACATAGACACACACACCTTTTTAACCACATGGATCCATACTGTAGAGGCTGTGAAGCAGTGAAGTTTTATTTGCACATAATGATGTTCTTTGGACTTCTTACAGTGCATTACATTTACATCGTGTGTGTGTGTGTGTGTGTGTGTGTGTGTGTGCAGAATTTTTGAGTATGTTGGAATTTAAGTCCCCCATTGAAGATAATTTAAATTGTTTCCGGTTTTTATTCCTGCAGTGGTATGGCAAACATCCAGTTGCCTGTGTAGTATCTTCACACATTCAAAGATGTCCAAGGCATAAATTCCTCATAGAACTGAGTGAAAGTATAAAGTTATTCCAAGTTTTGTTAAGTAGTTGTATTGCTTTTAAAGATTTGTATTTAAAACAGATTTCACTGTAAGAAGAAACCAAGACTTGAGAGACAGTGAGAGTTCAAGTAACTTGACCAAGATTCTTAGTTGCTGACTAGTAAAGTCAGCTTTCACACTTATACTTACTTGTGCTGTTACCTCTCTGCCACAGATACTGTATCTCCATTGCCATTCTAAAGCATAATTTTGACTTTCAAACTAGGAGACATATCTTTTTATATTCTCATCACATAATTAAAATATAATGAAAAGATGGTTCATAGCCAAAGACCCTTTAGAGTAATAGCTTTCCTGCTCCTGGGACCCAATACCCGACACCCATAATTTAAAGAAGGTTCATGTTTCAGGAGGTCCAGTCCATGGTTGGCTGCTCTACGGCAGAGACATCATGGAGGAAAGGTGTGGTGGAGCAGAGCTGCTCAGTTCATGCATGGCAGGGAAGCAGAGCAGGGACAGCACCAGAGACGAAGGGCCAGGGACTGGATGTAGACTTCAAGGTCACGTCTCCATGACCACCCAGACCGGGAAGTGTACTCTACTAATTCCCTCGTTGGCTCCAAAGCCAGTGAAGTGAACACAATTAAACTTAACCACCTCAACCCTGTAGCCCCCAAATACCACATCACTCAGGACATAAACATGCTATCATTTTATTCACGGGCAGCAGGAAATACACTAAAATCTGTGGTTTGGGGCCCATCATATCTCTGCCAGTGCCTCAACAATAACTTTTTTTGGCAGCCCTGTGTCTTACATACCTAGGGAAAACAGGTGATTTGAGCATAGCTATCTTGAAGTTATTCCGTATATTTGGCCCCAAACTTATTTTAAACTTCCACTTTAAATACTGTTGTCGCTGCATTTATAATCACATTCCATTACATGTACATTTATCACCACATTTTGGCCCAAGCAAAGGGTGTTAACAGTGTCTCTCAGGAACTCTGTCCTTTCATTTCTTTTTACTGTGTTTATTCTCTGTCTTGTCTGCTTTTCTGTGAGTTCCCTCCACCCTTGGCTCTGATTGGATTTTTTCTCCCATTTGTCTCAGTCCTAAAGAAGACAGATCTTTCTCTGCATGGGCCTGAGTGTCAGCTCGACTTCAGACTGGAGCTTGGCTATTCTCTGGGTCACCTGGACCCCACACAGATAGATCCCAGACATAGAAGCCATAACGTTTCTTACTTGTTTCTGGTTTGCTTTATTATTTAATTTAATTTAATTTTTTGTGGTGCTGGGGATTGAACCCAGAACCTTCACACTAAGCTACATCTTCTTCCTTCCCTTCCCTTCCCACCTTCTCCTCCACCTCTTCCTCTTCCTCCCCCCTCCCTCCCTCCCTCCCTCCCTCCCTCTCTCTCTCTCTCTCTCTCTCTCTCTCTCTCTCTCTCTCTGTCTCTTTCTTTTTTGTCTTTTTTGGTTTTGAGACAGGGTCTTGCTGGGCTTAAACTGGTGACCCTCCTGCTTCAGCCTTCCACAGTGCTGAGATTACAGGCATGTACCACTGTGCCCTGCTTGCTTTTTATTTTTTTACTTATTTCTTACCTGCTTATGAAGTCAAATTGATTGTTCCCATTTTATGATTAAGAAACTGAATCCGAGGAGACTTGTGTGGCTTGCTTCCAGTACAGGCCAAAGTCAGAGTTCAAGTTGTTCCCCACCGCCCATCAGTTCCTTCTTCATTACACACAGTCTCCCGGTTACAGAATGGGTTGTGTTCCAGGAATGCGTGTGGAAGTCAGTTATTTGGCAGTTCAGCTGCATTTTACCACGGTGGAAAGAAAATGTTATAAATGGTGATTAAGTCCCTCAGCTGGGCAAGGGTCCATTTAACTCTCAGGGAACTAAAAGTGATGCATTTGCACAAGAATGAAATGCCACGTGGGGCAGTGAGACTCAGGTCACAAAGAAAGGGAAGTTGTTTTCCAAAGGATTAGCATGTTTAATTAGAAGGAGAGGAATGGATGAAAATCCCCCGTGGTGAGTTGAGCCCAGAACGGACTTCTTTCCTTCTCCTGGGTTTGGTGTGCAGGTTAAGCAGAGCTGTAGTGTCTGGTGACTGCTTTCTTCCTGCAAATTCCTAGGTTTTTGTGAGTGTGTTGCTCAGACATGGTGGGAGACCAGAAGGGAGGGAGGACCGTGTCTGGATTTTTGTTTATTTCTTTTACTGGTCAAGTATGGTGCAAGTAATTCAAGCAGGAGTTTTCCTGTGTATTGAATTCTGGACGCTTTGGTGGAAGGAAAATGTAAGGAAAAAAATACCTCACCTGAGGCAGACCTTACCCACAGTGTGATTTTCCTCATGAGCAAGCACTGTTGGTGCCGTATGTAACATAGAAAACAAATTAATACACATGTGGGTATCTTAGGGAGCATGTTTATTAACTTTTAGCATTATATTAATTGATTAAGAGAATAAAACTTGCATCTTGTTTGCAGGAATTCATAGCTGACTAGTTTTTATTCTTTGTTATGTTCTTTTGTTAGTATGGTTCTTGGGTGATTTAGACGGAAAATATTTTGTTCTTGGTATTTTTATAAGACATAAAGCATTTCTTCTTCAATTTGTCCCCACCACCTCGTCCTGGCTGCTGCTTCTGCTGCTTCCTCCTCCTCCTCTTCCTCTTTCCTCTTTCCTCTTTCCTCTTTCTTCTTGTCAGGCTATGGAGCCCAGGCTGGCCTCAAACTCAGTGATCCTCCTGCCTCAGCCTCCCGAGTGCTGGCATCACAGGCATGTGCCACCTCACCCAGGAGACATAAAACATTCTTAAGATCAGGCACACGATTTAACTAGTACAGCCAGTGACCCTCAGGCCGCTCTTCCTTCTGGCCGTTACCTGAATCAACACCGGTGCTGAGAGGTGAAGGGTACTGTTGGTGTCCTTTCCCTTCCCGTCCCTGCCGCTCTGCTCCTCGGTGGGCTCTTGCGGTCTGGATGGGCACTCACTCAGAGGAGGGTGGGGAGGCGGTCGTGGCAAAGGAGAGGGTGCTGCGCGCAGCAGGCACTGGAGGACGGAAGTGGGGCCCTGTGTGGCGCCTCCTGCAGACGCCTCGTTTCCAAAGAGCTTTGTGACACCTTACTCGTCTTCCTCACATTTTCTGCCTGCTTGTAACTAGACAATTTCATGTCATTTTCTTCCTTAGGGTCAAGAAACTGGAGCATGGCTCTGAGCAACGGGAGCCCCGATTTTGTGTTTCTGAGCAATGGCGGCATCGCAACCGGCGCTTCCAGTCGGAGTGCCCTGGCGCCCGGGGACGCAGACCTCGCCGCCCAGCAGCTCCTACCCAAAGGCGCGGCCCAAGCAAAAGTGAGTCCCAATGGCTGCGTGCACCGCAATGGCACGGTGAAGTCATCCTTCCTGCCTTCAGACAGCCGGAGAGTGCCTCCAGGTCTCCCCGCGTGTGGGCGTGGTCACTCGTGCTCGTTCCACCACCCGCTGGGCAGCCCCGAGGCGGGTCCCGCAGCGCCCTCGGCCTCGACCTCCTGTTGCACGCAGCCGCCCTCAGGGTACTCTGCGTCTCCGTGTGCAAACCATTCTCCCGCGTACCAGGCCGCATGCTGCCTGCAGCCCTCGACGCCCTTCTGCCTGCACCACCCATGGCTTGACCATTTCCAGCACCAGCCGGCGCAGCAGCGCATAGCCAGCCTCAGGTGAGTGAGCCTCCGAGGCTCCGCCTCAGCGCCTGCTTGCCTTTATTTCCCGAGGGGAGGGAACAGGCGGACAGGAAAGCAAACAGGTGAGATGCACAGTATGTGGACTGAGTGAAGCCTGCTAAGATGCAAAGAAGTTGGTCTGCCTATTGTACCCATGGATTCTCAGTCTCCATTTCCTTTTTGCTGTCTGCACACTGCTCAAGAATCTTTGAGTTAGGGAGCCCAGTAAAAAGTTCGATAGTTAGCAGTTTCTGTTGTTGCACCCAGCAGACACATTCCTGACAAAGCGGTCTCGAGGGAGCCCTTCACCTGATCCTGATCCTGGCCAACCCTGTGGAAAAGAAGTGTCGAGCCGGGCTTCCCCGGGCTTCTCTATGGCTGTGCACGTGGTGTGGGTGACTGTGATATGCTGATATCGGGCAGAAGTAACAGTTCCTTCCACAGAGGATGAAAACCGTAATGCATGGCACACGACTTTAAAGATATTTTTTGTGAAACATTTTTAAATCCAGTAGATTGAAAAACAGTAGAAAAATCTACATCACTGTGCACCTTCCCCCCGCCCCAGCCCATGGTTTCCCTCACAGGTGATTCTTCAGCAGCACAGCATTGTTCCCCAGGTGAGTTAGTTGCTGCAGAGGAGCAGGGTAACACAGCTCAGAAGCGATACAGTACTTTGTAGAGACCAAGGATTATTTCATAAAACATTGTAATGACCTAGAGAGAGTGAGTGCTCCTTCAAATTAGGGTCTAACTTACAGGGAAATGCACAGATAGTAAGTGTACAGTTTGAGTGCTATGCACAGAGGTGTACACTTGTGTAAGCCACACTGCAGTCTCCTGGAGAGCGCTCCTGTCGCCTGGAAAGCCCCATGTGCTCTCCTCAGCCACTGGCATCTGTACCTGAAGCCACACGGGCCTGTGTGGCCTCACTTATTTCTCCCACTCTGGTGCAGTCAGACGGCCCGGCCCGTGCCCTGTCGTGCCCAGAAGTGCTGCGCAGCGCAGTCTGAGATTTACCCAGCCATGTGCATTAGTTTCTTTTTTCACCATGAACAGCGATTGTCCCTTAGGGATGTAGTAGATTCTCTTTCATTAACGAGTCAGCTCCAGAAAGGCTTACATGATAAATGCTCTTCACCTTTGTCAGGTTTTGCACATTGTTGAGATATTTTAGTTTTAATCTTTTAGAGAGATGAGGAAAGAGATAAGAGAAAAAGGGAAAGAGAGGGTGGGGTGGGGAGAGAGTCCTCGAACCATGTTCTAGTTTTTGAATCCACACTGGATTAGAGCCTTGTTCTAAAACTGAGAAGAAATTCACCAGATCCGTCAAGGCCATGTAAAAGATTTGTCCTGATGGCATTGTACTGTGCGACTCGTTATAGACTTTTTCCATTTTCAATCAAACTGTGTGAGCAGTTGATTCTAAAATTATATGATCATAGGATTGATGTTTCTGAGTCATAAATTACATGGTTGCAGTGTAAGATGAAATAAACAGTTCTACACTCTGAAGTTGAACCCTCCTTTTGAAAAGTCAGAAAGTATTACAACTACGGGCAAATAACCAATGTTTTCAATATGCCAGGTTGTGCCAAGATTTCCTGGACGGGCTTAGTGTTTCTCAGTGACCTAATATGCAAGGAATGAGAGCCCTGTGTGCGCTTGAAACAGAACAGCCTTGCAGAGAAAGCTGGGGGCCACTGTACGGGTGGAGTTGGGCTGTGGTTGCTAACTGGACAGAAAGGGCGATGGAAATCGAGCTGGCTTCCAGGGGAGAGTCCCAGGAGAGGGAAGTGAGGCCCAGCTCGGGAGTTCCCTGGAAGTAAAGGCTGTGACTGGGTGACACAGCATTCACATTTTAAACAGGCAAGTGAGCACAGTCATTATTCAACTTGAAAAAAACCAACAAAATGCCATGTTTGTCCACCACAAAGATATGGAAGAAAGTAGATTATAACAAAGGAAATTTATGTATTTAGAATTTTAACTCTAGAACTTGAGCCTTTTGATTGGAATTTGTTAAGTCATGTAATCCTTTTTTTAGAGTGTATTTTTTCTTTTTATTTATTTACATTAACACAATTGTACAGGTTTATGGGGTGCAATGTATTTTTTGTTTTTTTGGGTTTTTTTCTTTTTCTTTTTTTCTTCTGGTACTGGTGATTGAACTTAGGACCTTATGTTTACGAGGCAGACGCCTTGCCACCGAGTTAAATCCCCGCCCTGAATGTGTTTTGTTTTGTTTTGTTTTGGTACCGGGGATCGAACTCCGGATCTTGCATCTTGCGCTTGTGAGGCAGTTGCCAGAGCCACTGAGCTAAATCCTAGCCCTGAATGTGTTGTTTTGATAACCTGTAAACATTGTGTAATGATCAAGTCAAGGCAATTAACATATCTTTCTCTGCTTCAAGCACTTATCATTTCTTTGTGGTGAAACATTGAAAACCTTCTAGTTATTTTGAAATGACTATTTGTTAACTAGAGTCATGCTATTGTGCAAAACTTGGAGAAGGAAGTATAATATAATCACAGTATATAACTTGACTCACTAGGAAAATCTTTAACAGCTGAAGCAGAGGAGTGTGTTTCGCTAACAAATAGCTGGGTTTCAGCAAACACAAACATCTGAGTGTCAGCCAGTCCCAGGCCCGCAGGGGAGGAGACCATGTCCAGACAAGGTGAAGGCCTCACTGTAACTAATCAAGTCATCTCTGTACATCCTTTCTGTGTTCAGCTATAAAAGCCTCAGTACACAGCGAAGCGTTCTGAGATCCTCTCCAATTTGAGTGCTGCCCGATTCATAATTGTTCTTTGCTCACACTGTTAGATTTGTCTAAAGTTTTTCTTTTAGCATGTAAGAGCACCGTAGGTACCAGAAATGCAAAATACTCAGAACCATATTCCTTTTCACAGAATTAGCAGGTATGTGTCACCTGGGTTTTCTTTAGATCTTTTATTTCACTGTTCCTTGTTTTTAGTTGCTGAACTATCCAAAACTTTGATCTTGCATTTTCCACCTTCTGAATTAGAAAGCTTAATGTCATCCACAGGGACTTCCCAGGTGACACTGTCACCCTTGTCCTAAGACTCGGAACTGTCCTGGCACCTCTCTGCTGAACTCTCCTCTTCCTTTAAAGCCGCCTGACTCATCTTGAATAAGGCCACATCCGTTTGTGTAACTTCGATGAGGGTCCTGACGGTATTTTCTATATCGAAGTGACCAGAGGGAGCTGCTCTTGTTTCTTAGCTTTGCATTTGCCTGGGCCGTCTTGCGAGAAAGTTCTGCACTTGACCTAGTATTGAGCTCCTTTTTATCTGAACTGCACAATGAGTGGAGGTTTCCTGGAATTAGTCTTGGAGTTGATGAGCAGCTTGTCCCATATACCTCCTCAGCTTTCGCCCGCAGTCAGCAGCTCTTTGGACACCAAGACCACTGAGTGCCCCAGGGTGGGTGACTAAGAACTCAGGTGGACACGAGAGTCCTCCTGCACCTCCATGCCTCTGCAGGCGGCATAGACCTAGAATCTTCTAAAGATAACTGCAAAAGAACGGTGTATCTCCACTCGTATATATTATATGTCAGTGTGCTTCAAGGATTGCTTCCCTATTTTCTACATTTACTCATTTGTATAATCAGCAATATTTATTGAATACTGTGGATGTAATCCTAAACAGGTTGAGACTTTTTTTTTTGCTTTCATAGAGCAATAAGGTAGTAGGAAAATATGCAGTAAATCAAACTGGCAGCTGCAGTATGGTGATGAATGCTACCAAGAGGGAATGTGCAGGACTGAGGATGAAGAGGAGTCACAGTGGAGTGAGGATGGGGCTGTCACACAGGTGGTGGGGACACCGGGAAGACAACCATAGCTGAGCCCGATGCAGTGTCACTGGGCTGGCAGGAGAGATATGGCAGAGGAGAGGGGTGCTGGGACCCTGGCGGGAGGCTTTGGGAACCACAATAGGGTGCGTAGGCTTTGTTCTGAGGCCACTGAGGAGCTGTTATGGATGTGTGTGTGTGTGTGTATGTGTGCGTGTGCAATTTTTGACAGCAGTAAAATACACATATGCATTTCTCAGCCTTTAATAAACGTAACTGAGGGCAGGAAGTCATTCAGAAGGATGGAAAATACCACAAGACAAGGCTTGTGCCTATTCTAGCATTCTGTAAGCCTGTTTATTCATCAGAGTCACCTGGGAAACTAAATAAGTATGGTAATAAAAGCCTTTTGCAGTAGAAGCCATAAGGAATCCTCAGAGGCTAGAGATGGAGGGATCTGGCAGCTTAGTGAGGCTTAGGGCAGCTGGCTGAGAAGGAGAGAACTCAGTGGCCCTTGGAGGATGACTGAGAATTAATAAAAGGCCTTGGGACTCCAGGAGGCCTGACACAGGCGGGGGTGCTGTAGAGAGAAAGGCAGGGTCAGGAGAACAGGATTATGGGAGGGGACATCATTCGGGTTGGACCCAAGAGAGCCTTTCCTTGTTCTACATCCTGGATGGGGCCAGCTGTCTACAAGGCTTCCCCCTTGGGTGTGGAAAGCCTCAGGGCGCACTCTGGTGAGCTGGCTGGAGCTGGTTTTGGAAGACTCCTCTGGGGCCTGCTTCTTGTCCTGCAGAACTGAAAGGCAGTGGCAGCCCTGCAGTCAGTAAGGAGTTCCGAAGAGTGTGGGTCCTGATCTGTTTTTCGGTTTTTGGTTTTCCATTAAATTTATTGATACATTTTAGATATACAGTGCAGTTACATTCATCAGTGGGATCTTGTATCTTTACATGAGTCTCTTAGTTCTTATTTTTTTCCTATTCCCCTGCCCTTCCTTCATCCCCTCCACCCTTCTCTATTTGCAAAGACTTTGTTTCCATTTTTTTCCTTCTCTCATATTTTTTTTCTTTTCCCTTCTTTCCTTTCCCCTACCCCTCCCACCTCCCCTACTCCTTTAGACCTTTTCTTCCTATT